TCCCCCAGCAGAACAAGAGTGTCCCCGGGAGGAGCGCTCTCCAACACCGCTTCCAAGGACTCCAAAAAGGGTGGGTATTCTGAACTGCTGTTTGGCGCATAAGCGCAAACAACAGTGAGAACCCGTCCCCCCACCAGAAGGCGAAGGGAGGTTACCCTCTTGTCCACCGCGGTAAACCCCGATGTACAGGCGCCCAGCCAGGGGGCAATAAGTATGCCCACCCCTGCTCGGCGGCTCTCTCCCCGTGAGCAACTCCAGAGTGGAAGAGGGTCCAACCCCCTTTGAGGAGACTGGTTCCAGAGCCCAAGCCGTGCGTCGAGGTGAGCCCTCACAGCCTCGCGCACCAGCTCAGGCTCCTTCCCCACCAGAGAGGTGACATTCCATGTCCCTAGAGCTAGCTTCTGCAGCCGAGGATCGGACTGCCAAGGTCCCCGCCTTCGGCCACTGCCCAACTCACACTGCACCCGACCCCTTTGGCCCCTCCTACAGGTGGTGAGCCCATTGGAGGGGGGACCCACGTGCCTTCTTCGGGCTGTTCCCAACCAGGCCCCATGGGTGCAGGCCTGGCCACCAGGCGCTCGCCATCAAGCCCCACCCCCAGGCCTGGCTCCGGGAGGGGGGCCCGGTGACCCGCGTATGGGCGAGGGAAAACGTAGATCCATGTTTTTACTCATCATAAGGGGTCTTTTGAGCCGCACTTCGTCTGGTTCCTCACCAAGGACCTGTTTGCCTTGGGTGACCCTACCAGGGGCATAAAGCCCCAGGCAACTTAGCTACTGGGATCACTGCAACATGCAAACCCCTCCACCACGATAAGGTCTCGGCTCCAGGAGGGGAGTGTGATAAATTAATTAGATAAAATATTAAAAATGTATGAACACTGAAAAACACAAATAAGATAAATTATGAAAGACTCAGCTCTAACTCCAACACAAGGTAGGATGGATAGTCAAGCACAGGAGAAGGGGTGTGATTTTGTTGTGTGCATGCGCAGTACCCAACGATAGGACGTTTCGATAGGTAAGATGAAGTGATAGAACACACACTGTTCACAATCATTAGTCTTTCTCCTTCAATGTGTATGAGTCACATAAAATAAGCTTTCTCTTACCTGATTCATGTATTTACTGTAGAGTACTCCATTACTATAACTGAACCAAGATGGCGAAAGGAGGCAGAACAAGGCAATTGTGCAATAAATTGTAACCATTCTATATATATACCGTATTTGCCGGCGTATAAGACGACTTTTTCCCCCTGAAAAACATGCCTCCAAGTGGGGGGGTCGTCTTATACGCCGGGTGCACTTCAGTTGGGATAGGCATAGCTGCCCATAGTGGCCTCCCGATGCCCGCCCGGTGCCCATAGTGGCCTCCCGATGCCCGCCCGCCCACCTCATTCTACATACCATCCAGTATCGCGCGGTATCCAGCGCGGCCGTGGTGGGTCAACAGCGTGGCTGTGGCGAGCATCAGCAGCGAGACAGGGGTGCCAGCCTTTTCGGCGTGACCATCCCGTTCTGCTCAGCGGGTAGCATCGGCGCTCCGGCCCGCCCCTTGTCTACGCAGAGCTCGCACATGCGCACTAGTGCCGGTCACAAGGAGATGCAGGGGCGGGCCGGAGGCGCTGCGGTCGCACTGCGGCCGTACAATGGTGACAATGACAGGTACTGTAATGGCACTAATACTAATACTAATGGCACTCATGTAATACCGGTAACAATAATAGCACACAGGGGTGTGCGGAAGAGGGGGTAGTCTTATACGGCGAGTATATACTGTAACAAACTCTATATTTTG